TGCACTTGTTCACTTATGGTCTGGTTCTCCTAATACATTTTAGTAAGTGGTGAGTAATGATATAGTTCAACTAGCATATTTTAAGCCTACAGATCTATTTTAAAGTCTCCTGTTTGTTTTATGGAAACTTCGGCACCTCCTAGATTAACTAAAATTTGAAGTCTTAATCTTTTAAATGGCTGCTAATCTTCGATAGATAATTTTTACTTAATCTCAGTGACTCTTGAGCATCTCAGTAAAGTAATGGCCAGTCTTCGCGAACGAAGAACCGGGGAAGGTCTTTACACCTTCCAGCCTGCGCATTGGATTTTTTAGGTGAGACACAGTGTGTGCGGAACTGAGCCCACCCTTTAATCCTGAGGTTCATCTGCCGGGGCCAGGCAAGCCTGGACGGTGGCAGCGAGGTCCTCAGGACGTAGATGGATTGCCTTACAGGGCTAATGAGCTCCATCTGCCCGGGGAGGGGCCCCGACTGGGAATCGAACCCGGGTCTCTGCAGTGACAGTGCAGTGTCTTTTCCCCTAGACCACCGGGGGCTCCCTGAGCATCTAGAAATTATACGTCTATGCCTGTAATCAGAGGCATGTGATTCCCCTTTCCTGGCTGTTGCTCTTTATGGCAGATGTTTCAGCCCTCCTGCAGAGGTGTTGCCTCTGGCACTCTGTACAGAGCTCCCCTTTTGATGGGTGCCGTTGTGGCTTTCAGCAGCTTCACGACTCTTTCTGCTGGTTGAGTTTCTGATACAGAATTGCGCTGGCTGACACCTCTTTTTCGGGGAAAGTTCTGAAATGTTCTCTAGAAGTAACAAGTAGTCTCCTGTAGATATCTTCAACTGACTGTAATAAGGGACAGATGTTCATTTGTCTTAAGAGATTCTTCTGTTTCATTCATGTGTTGGTTTCTTAAGCCAGTGCAAAAATTTCAAATAGCTGAGTATGTTTGGATTTTCTGGCTACCCCTGATAGCAGTTAGAGACAGTTAGAGCAACATGCAGTGGTGTTTGAGGTAAGCAGGAGTTCAAAGGGGGGCTCATGAAATTTTAAATACTGGTGAGGACTTGCAGTAAAAATCTATGGATCTTTTAACTAGTGAATCAGTTCTTAGTGTGTTAGCTGGAAGAGCCCATTAGGAGGAACATCCTGATACTGATTTGGGGTTTTTTCTTCCTCTCTGACAATGCCTGGACATACCTTGCTTTGATTTTTTTGATTTATTCTGCAGTTTATGATAAGAGAATTTAAGAGTTTGGAAAGTTACCCTGTTTTTGGAGGGGGAAGCAGTTGGTTTTGAGGGGATTTTGGTTTTTTGTGCATTTGTTTTTTCTTAAAAGCTTGGGGTATTAAGGCATAGTTTAAAAAGCAGGGGCCAGCTCTCCCCCCTTTTTCTTGTCTAGAGAAATCCTTTGTAGAGAAAGAAATATGTCTTTGTGCTTTGGAAACAAACCATATCAAATAGAGGATCTGATAGACAGCCCTTTCTGCTTTTCTTTCCCATGATTCTTCACATTTTAAGAAACGGTGATTTTTATTTTTTTTTAAATTTTTTGAAGGTGGAAGTTTCCTGCTTCCTAACAGTTTCTCAGTTGAAAGCTTGAGCAATGCTTAACAGAAGATGAAACAGAGCTGTTTCAGTTCTCCCCTTTCCAAGACAGAAGCGTGTAAATTAAGCTGAAATATAACTATATATATCTACATGAAGAAAAATTGTCTAAGGATTTTGTACCTTACTGCATGAAAATATACCATAAATAGTTTTTCTATGACTTGGTGATTCTTTTGTATCTGAAAATTCTTTCTTTATTTTTTTTATCGTTTTTGGTGAAAACTTCAGAAATTATTCAGAGTTTTCTGGGTTTTTTTCAAACCTAATAATTTCTTTATTCTTTTTGCTTGATCAGTAACCTCAAGTTTTTGAGTTTGCAGGTCAGGAAATCTTTCCCATTCCAAGACGGCACTAAGGAAAGACTTACTTAAACTTCTAGATTGGTACTAAATTTGTGGGGTTTTTGGTGTGTGATTTTTTTTTTCCAGAAATAGATTTATTAAATGACAATATAGGTATAATAAGCTTCTATATTAAGCACTGTAAAGTATTGGACAGTGTTAGAAATTATAGAACAAAACAGTTGAGGCTACTGAAGAAATGTCTTCAATTCTTCTGTTGATTTCTCCAAGAAAAACAATTTGTTGTACAGCACTGAATAATCTGCATTATCAAATCTATCCCGTTCCTGTCAGGCGCTGGGTGCCCTTCATTTCCTTTTGCAGCCAGAAGGGACTCAACATGTTGCAGCTCAGGCTGTGCTGAATACTAATGTCCTGATATCTGGTAGATCATTAGTATTTATTTGTAAAATGGAAGCAGAATTAGTTTTGACCTTTAGAGCTAAGTCAAAAGGTTAATCCATGTCCATTTCCAATTTGGTGCATTAATTGCTCCCTGTCCTAATTGTTTGGAGGACAATATTTTCTGTTTGTTTCAGAGGTAAATCAAACTGTAGGTGATGCTTTGCATTCATAATTTTGTTGTTCGTTTTACTTACAAGTGAATTCCAAATCACTGAGTGTGTCTTCCTGGGTTCTGTATAAAAAAATAAATAAATAAATTGGTATTTCTGATTTTTTTTTTCCAAATCAATGCATGCATTCTGCCTAAAGCTAGTGGGATGTGATATGCTTTATGATACACAGAGGATAAAAATAAGTTTATGCATTCTTTGGTTATTCAGATACTAGTATTCTTGGCAGCTCTGAATAGGGGGAAAAAAACACCAGCATGAAATTAATAACTGTTTTTGTTTGTATTATAGCTACACTGTACACATCCTGCATTTTGTTGGGTATATTCCTCAACAGCAGCGTACCCATATTCTTTGAGCTCTTTGTGGAGACAGTCTACCCTGTTCCAGAAGGAATTAGCTGTGGAGTTGTCACCTTTCTGAGTAATGTGTTTATGGGAGTGCTTTTGTTTTTCCTCACATTTTACCATACAGGTAAGAAACATAAACCGCTTTGAAAATGTAATTCTCCAGTTAGACATACCTTTGTCAATAGAAGGGAGGATTTGCACATGATTTCTTTAATAACTGAATGTTTGAATCCCCCCTGATGGGGCAGCAAGGGAGGAAAGTTTTAGTTGTTCTTTCCTATGTGCACGCTAATAAAAATAAAATTACTTAGATGCAAGATATATTCTACTTGAATTTGCTGTAGCCAGGTACATCAAGGTACACATTGTCATTATATTTTATAAAGGCCTGGTAATGTGACCATTAAAAATAGTTTTATCTCTGGCTGTTCAGAACCACAGTAAAGCTAATCCAGTCTCCTACTTTTGGGTAGAACTGTATTGCCCAGGAGGGGCAGAGCAGAAATGCCCCATTTATGGTCAGCTCTGTTCAGTGGGTCACATGTACATTGCAGGGGAGAGGGCAGCTCTTCACCACTGCTCAAAGAGGAAACAGCCATTCCTTTAGACAATCCTGTGGCCTAACCCAGCACATCAGCGTTTTGCTTGATGTTCTCATCAACTTCTTCACACTTTCTCATCTCTCAAGTGTTATTGGCTTCCTCGCAACTCGTAATTATGACTTAAAACTTGCTATTTAGTAGGCTATAATACATATTATTACTCTAAGCTGTAAAATGAGAACCCAATTTGCTTTCAAAGGGAAGTGGTCTTTATTAATGGCTCTCAAAGATGCAAATTTTTAATTTGTCTTTTGTCATTGTGGTAAACGTTTGCTTCATGATGCAAGACTTGCAAAGCATTAGAAAATGTGGGCTTTTATGTATTATCATGAGTGCATTTACTTCTTAAAATGTTGAGTTTTATCACCAAGAGGAGACTGACAAATTTCAGAATGAATTTTGCTAGAAATCATCTAGGTTACAACCTGGGGCCATTTTTCAGCATAGTTTGTGCCTTTCTGCCAGGGAATTACAAGTAGGATGACAGCCCTGTTTCAAATTGTGGTCTGTGAACACAAACAGAATTCATCTTTTTTTTTAATGCTGTTGTTGAACTGCATCATTGTAAAATCAGAATGCCAACCAGGTTAGCCTGGGGTGGTGTGAGAGTTAGTCTTTACATTTTAAAGTACGCTTTTAATATTAATTTTTTGTAAAATATTAATTGGTGTGAGTTATAGTTTCTGACATCCATATCTGAGCTGGAAAGATGACATAAAATATTCTGATAATTTTTTCAGCATTTTTCAGAGTAGAAATCCAGTGTTTGGCATTACTTAATAACTGAGGGTGGGAATAGTGTCTCACTTCTGATGGAAGAATTATGATTAAGTGAACTCATTCCCTCATAAATAGGGTATTTGGGGTCATTTTGGTCTCTAGTATTTCTCTCCCTAGCAGGTATCAGTAAATGCAGGTAAGGATAAACCTGAAATAATTATATTCATATACTTGGAATATTTTCTCTATTTCTTCAAAGGAGAAAACAAAAAAAAAAATTTAAAAAAAGCGTAATTTGTGCTTAGGACATTTCGTTCTTTGATCGAAAGTACAAGTGAGGTGTGGTCACTGCGGGGAGGTCAGTGCCAGTGGGTGCTATTGGCTCCTCTGATTAACAAAAAATCCTTCAAGAGGTTGATAATGATCTTAATCATTTGCTTTCATTTGATTCAAATACATCCTCTAATGGCATGTAAGAAGCTTACAGATAAATCAGAACTCAGTCAAATTCATCTTGTTCCTTTTAGGCCAGATAATCTTTCAGTAGTTTTAATTCTGATTTCTCTTCTCCTCCTCTGATATTGCAAATGCTGTGAAGGACCCAAACCCTGGAAGCTTTCCAGTGCCTTGAAGATTTTGGTTCATCTAGCACAGTGGAGATGTAACCCTTCCTAAAGCTCAGCCTCGCTGGTAGTGCTGTGTCCTGCACCCCAAAGCTGCAGCCTCTGGATGTGTTTTTCTTTGCCTTTTCTGCAGGGACTTCTGAGGGAAAAACAAAAGCAAACTGACCTTTGGCTTCATGCGATCGATGCGTTCGCTGCATTGCCAGAGCTGTCACAAATTCTGGATTAAAAAAGATATGAAGGATTCACAAGTTAAATTCGGTCTGTTAGGAAGTCTGAGTTAAAGTCTGTTTAATCCAATTAAACGAGAATACTATAAGGAAAATAACAGCAAAGCATTTGACTATTGACTTCTGGCAACACATAACACAGCTTTCTCCAAGCCTAGGAAAATTTTACTTTGGTTTTAATAACATTACTACCTAAACAAATCCCTGTGGGTTTTCGGTGGATCAGGGAGGGAGTTGTTGAAGGTTATTGGTTTTGGAAAGTTGAATTTTTTTAGGCTTTCTGACTTTTGTTGTTTGCATTGTGTAATATAAATCACAATTTTTTCTTTTTGCAATATAAATTACAGATTTAAGAAAGTAGCAGTGCTGAAGCCTTGATTTTGATTAAGAGACCTTGAGGGAGAGTTTAGGTTCTGTAAAATTAAATTAATAATAGCAATAAAGGAAAATTTTAAAAAATAAATGGAACAATATCTCCAGTGAAATGAATATTTCTTCAGTAAATTGACAATTTTTTTTTAAAAAAGGAAATTGTAGTGCACTTAGTTTGAAAAAAAAACCAACCCTGAATAAAACTGTTAATTAGTAGGCAAATATCAGATGATGGGATTTCTTGAATATGGAACACAGCTTTTTAAGAGCAGTACATTAAGTCTAACAGCTGAAAAGAGGCTTCTGAGGAGCTGTTTTTGCAACTAGTTTTAAATTGAATTGATTGTACCAAGTTTCTTCTGAGGAATTGGTTTTCCTCCTTATAGCATGTAGCAGGTTTGATTCAAAATCAAATCCAGCTTTTTCCTACACTTTTAATTTGTTTTGGTTCTCAATCCATAGAAATCAAAGAACTAATGAGTAGAGTCTTTGGAAGTGGTTTATTCTCCATTAGCAATGATAGATTTGGGTATTTTTTTCCCCGTTCTCTTCATTGGCAGGTTGCATAAGGAGTTTTAACGTTAGCTGGAGGCATTGGTTATAAATATATATATATATATATATATATATATAAATTGAGGTATCCATGGAGAAGTCTCATAGGCCATGTTAACCATTGATCGATCAAGGGCTGTCAGGATTTTGTTCAGAAGACAGCAATTTCCTTCAAACCTGCCATCAGTCTAAGTTTTGGTCACTTTAAACACAGAACATGTTTGATAATTGAGGTTGGGTCTCTCTTCTGCCTTACAGAGTTTTCCTGGTTCAACTGGTGCCTGCCAGGATCGTGTCTGCTCAGCCTGCTCCTCATCCTGTGCTTCCGCGAATCCTACGACAGACTCTATCTCGACGTTGTCGTCTCCGTGTGATAATGCCAGACTGGTGAGGGGTTGGAAGAGACTGGAAGTCAGCTTTGCAGTCTGCACATCTGCCTGGATTTGCACAGCTGGACAGCAGAAACACAAAGAAATTACAAGACTTAATTGTGGCTTTATTTGGAGAGGGTGAGGGACGGGTTGTTCTTGCATTCAAGACCACCTTGATTTGCTGTAACTGTGGAACTTGAGTGGTGATAATGATGCCAAAATGCACAAAGAGAATACATCTGCTGTACAGGTCCCAGTGCCAGAGCTGGGGCTGTCTATTTAAGGGGCTGTCGATGTGTAGCAGTAAGGTATACGTTGTGTGTGTGTGTGTGCTGACTCACGGTTATGTGCACCAGGGTACCAGTAATCTTTGGAGTCTTCTATCAGAATAGAAATAAGGAATAATCTTAACAAAAGGAAAAGGAGAAAAGAAATCTTTTCTTAAAGATCTCTTCTAAATCACTAGTCATTTATATATTGAATGTCCATTAAACAGTACACTACATTTGCATTCTAATAAAGTGATTTCTGATATAAGACACTGGTACCAGGGTTTTTAGCCATACTAAATATCCCAAATAATCCCCACAGTGTTGTTAGAGGTGTTTGTAGTCACCTTGGAGCACAAGTAAACAATAGCTTTAGCTGCCACTGAATCCCAACTTGCACCCACAGTCATCTCTGAAATACCACCGTGGTTCCATATCTCCTGAATATGGAGCATCTGTGGTGTACTGGAGAGTCACTCTTGCTAAATGTTGCTGTTCTAAAAGCCACCACTGTGTCACCTTTCCATCCCCTGTCTCCAGTACTGCCTTTTTTACTGTGAAGACCTGTTTGTGACACTGAATACTGTGGATGTGGATGTCTGAGTCCCGCTAGTTCTCTTCTGACACTCTAAGGTGTGTGTGGATTTTAGAAATAGTTTATGATTGAGGGTGCCTAAACAATATTGCTTGTAACCCAAGTCTTAAAAATCACTGTTTCCTAAAAAAAAAATCTTTCTAGTGGATGAAGTGTGCTGATAGCGAAATGACAATGAGAAATAACTCATGAGTTCTGGCATAATGTGGGAAATTAATGCCAACTCTTTTTATCAATATTAATCTGTGGTCATTCTGGCCCTTACTTGAACATAAATATTAAAGACACTTTGAATAGTTTTTTAAATCAATTTTTAAACCTGCTAATAATTTCCTAATTATATTCTTAGATTTCAGTTCAGCATCATTTACAATATTTCCATGTGTGTGTGTGTGTGTGTTGCGTGCTCTACTGTTACAGGGGTTTGTTCATGTGTGTGTGTGCGTGCATATTTATATCTATGTATACACAAATAAAACTTATATATATAACATATATGTATATATATAAGTTATATAAGGGTATGTGTTTACATAGGCTTATTTTAAGTGATCCTGTCTGGGGATGGTGGTTTGCCTGTTTGTAACTCAGCCAGTCACTGCTGTGAATGGAAACACGAGCATACGCTCTCTGCGACGTGAATCTTTTTCAGGGGGTGAATGATTTCCTGTCGTGGCAGTTTTATCGCAGGGGGTGGGTGCACGTGTTGGAGGAGGCTGGTGTGCAGGATTCTGTGTCTGCAGAAGTCTGAATCAAGCACCCTCTGCTCCTGTGTGGGGCTGTTCTCTGCGGCCCTGGGGTGACACCACCACTGTAAGCTCACTCAAATAAACCCTGAACTGAGCGCTACCTTTCAGACACGGACCTGTTCGTTCTGCCTGCTCTCCTTTTGCAGAGAGAATACACCACTAAGACCTTTAACTCAGGAGTGTATCTGTGCAGTAAAATAAAATGAGCTGTTCCCTGCTTTTATGTTTTCAGAGCGATGGATGTATTTACTGAGTAACTGAAAACGGATTTAGCTTATTACCTGTATCAGCTACTAAATGATCTTTTCTGTCTTGAAGCAGGCTCTTTGTGGAAATGGAGCTAACCTACATGGGGATTACTACATCAGTCTAAACAGCACGTTCAGATCGCTGGCATCATCCTCTTACTGTTTTTCAGATGAATGGTATTAACTGTCCAACTTCTTTTTACTATGTTTTAGTGCCTGGAATATTTTCAGTATCCAGTAGCTGCTCCTACCTATTGTCTTCTGAAACCAAGGGTCGCTTGCCAAGAGTCTGATTGAAGTTGCATTGTCATGGCAGAACTGCGAGCCCGGATGGCTCTTCAGAGCTCTGTTTCTGCAATTTACTGTAGCTATATTAAGATTAAAATTGCACAGCTCAGGCACTGTCCCGATTGACAGAGATTTCTAATCCTTTCACTGTCCTGACTATTTAAAGATGGAGAAGCACTTCAGGCAGTGTTCAGACTATATAACCTCTTCTGCCTCTGTTCCAGAAAGCATCAAACAGTTCAGAATAATTGTCAGTGCTGCCAGGTGCAGGCTCTCCTTAGTCAGGGGAGAAGAGTGAACCTCTTGTTTTGAACCCCGTTGATTGTTTTTCTGAGTCAGTGTGAATTGCTCACTGCAATCCTGATGCCTTGGTAGATGTTTCTCTGTGTGATGGGTTGACTGTGGCTGGATGCCATATGCCCAACAAAGCCAGTCTTGTCATTGCCCTCCTCATCTGGGCAGGGGAGAGAAAATGTAACAAAGAGCTCAAGTTGGGATAAGGACAGGGAGAGATCACTCGCCATTTACCATCACAGGCAAAACAGACTCAACTTGGGGAAGTTAGTTTAATTTATTAGCAAGCAGATCACAGTAGAATAATGAGAAATAAACCAAATCTTAAAAACACCTTCCCCCCACCCCTCCCTTCTCTCTGGACTTAACTTCACTCGTGGTTTTCTCTCACTCCTCTCCCCAGAGGCACAGGGAGACAAGGAATGAGGAATGTGGTTAGATCATCACATGTTGTCTCATCCTCTGAGGAGGACTTCTTACACTCTTCCCGAACTCCACTGTGGGATCCCTCCCACAGGAGGCAGTCGTCCATGAATTTCACCAATGTGGATCCCTCCCACAGGCTGCAGACCTTCGGGAACAGTCCTGCCAGCAAAGCTGCTGCAGCATGGGTTCCTCTCTCTGTGGTGCCACAGGTCCTGCCAGGAGTCTGCTCCAGCACAGGCTTCCTACAGGGTCACTGCCTCCTTCAAGCATCCACCTGCTCTGGCATGGGGTTCTTCACAGGCTGCAGATGGATCTCTGATCCCGCCATGGACATCCATGGACTCCAGGGCCACAGCTGCCTCCCAGTGGTCGTCACCGTGGGCTGCAGGGGAATCTCTGCTCTGGTGCCTGGAGCACCTCCTGCCCTTCCTTTTGCACTGACTGGGGTACCTGGAAAGCTGTTCCTCTCGCACACTCAGTCCTCTCTCCAGCTGCAATTGAAGTTGTGCAGTGTAACTACTTTCCCCTTCTTATATCTGTTATCCCAGAGGCTCTACCACTGTAAAGATTTTACTAGATTAGGAAGTCTGGCTCAGGACAGGTGAGGATTGCAAATGTGCTTGCTGAGATCTCAGAAAAATATTTTATCCCCGTCTGTGCCCCACAGCAGCATCCTTCAGTAAAGGAGCAGTGCATTTCACGTCAGTAACCCAGCTCAACCCATAGGAATATTTTTGGATAAGAGTTACCAATTGGTCCACCCTTGACTGGATTTATCAAGGATCCAAGCTGCCAGGAAAACTGCACTTTGATAGAGTTTGAGAGCTCAGGGAGAACCCTAAACAGTGCTGATACAATTAGCAATAGTGCAGAATAGGCTCAAGACAGTTAATGTTTTTCTTAATAATGAGTGAAAGTTTTAAGTCTCTCTAACTTTTGAACCAGTAATGATGTTGGCTGCTGTGTGGCCTGTGACTTGCCAGCAGAGGAAAGCACCCTGGGGAGCCGAGGAATTTGCCTCTCTTTGTGGCCCATAAGTTCACAGCCCTGAAGAACGTTTTCCCCAGCAGTGCTGGGCTCCTTAACCACAGGTAAATGTGTTGTGGTTTGTGTTGGAAATGCTGGGAAGGATGCTCCACAGTGACCACTCTCTCTTAGTAGTTCATTTTAAATATGGGCTGCTCCTCCAATTTCTGTTTGGATTGATAACACTCTGTGTTCAGCTTCCAGTCCTGCTGTTTTGTTTTTCTCCTGAGCTGCAGAGCTGTGCTGGCTTCCATGCTGCTTGTGAGGAGGCTCAGGGTTAGAAGATGGAGGCTCCACTTGCAGCACTGGTTACAGTCTCTGGTCACTGCTGTTATCCTCTTGATTCCTTTGCCTTCCCACGTGGCCGCCTGCTCCCCTGAGCTGGAAGTGTGGACAAGAGGTTCTGTGCTCCCAAACCAATTCTAGAGGGATAGGTTGGCTGACCATGTGCTTAATATATCTAAAAGTAGAGATTTTTAGAAAATCATGCCAGCTGGAAGAAAGTGCAGACCCAAAGGATTCTGCGCATATTGTGAACAGATAATCTGTTACAAAAAGACTGTAATTTGCCTGAAACTTGTAATTTTAGCTCCCACACCTAGAGAGGCCGAGATGACAGACACGGTGTGTGTTACGTATTCAGGCTCGCAGCATCCTGTAGTTACTCTCAACCATCTGACAGAGCTGAAATGAGTGGAAGTGGGATGTCTTGAATGTTGGAGTGGGTTGGAAAACCCCAGGCTGTGTCAGTGTTTGCAGTGGTTACCTGGGGAGAACAACAGGCTGGTGGATTGAGTAAGGGGAGGGGGCCATTTCCAGGGGGCATTTCAACAGTGAAATACTGCACTGAGTGACCATATAAAATTTGAGGTTTTGAGGTGATGAGAATATTAGTGCCTGACTTGTTATACAGTAAACTGAGCAAGTGACTGCGTAGCCTTGCACTGCAACATAAACAAGCTGAATTGATTGATGTGCATATATTGGCTGTTACAAGAAAGGAAAATGCAATTTAATTGTGAGCAGTGACTGAAATATGAATGGGAATTACACAGTTTGCACAGGGGATATAACTGCTCTCTAATGCTGTGACAGCAGGGCTTTAATTGTTCATTTCTTCTCTTGGGTCACCTGCAAATATTAGTAAGTATCTATGACAAAGGCATTTATATGTTTTGAGGAGTTTTATACTAAGTATAGGTCATTGTAATAACTTGGCAAGACAACTACTACACTGGTATGGAGCCCTACACGAATATTTGGTACTGATTTAGAATTTGATGTTGGTGCCACCAATTCTCGGTGTTCTTGAAGCAGCACATGGGGAGAACAGGGATGTGGGGTGTGCAAGGATGCACAGTTGTGCAAGGGTGGATGCTGACCCTGCCAAAACATGCAAGAATTCCATCATCTGTGGGTCCCAACATCTGGGCTGGGAGGAGGAGGAACATGCGCATGGGGAAATGCTGCCTTATGGCTGCTGCCTACAGACAGACAGCCAGACAGCCTCCAGGCTCACTGCTTCACGTGTGAGGCATCATAGCTATCAACACAGGCCTCAGCCATTTCCCTGCAACCTGTGAGGTGGGTTGTGGGTGACAGGAATACCTGCCTTGCTCCCTCCAGGAGCGTCAGTTCAGCCAGCAGAGGAGAACTGCCACAGAGCAGGCACAGCCCCAGTGGAGTCAGGAGAAGATGTCAGTCTGCTCACAATTTTTGCAGTTTGTGTTTCAAGACAGATGAAACTAATAAATAGAGGAAAAAATGTTACTCTGTCCAAAGTTTTGACAAGCAAAAGCAAATATTTGCACAGATGTGCTGGCTCCTGCCTATTACTTGGGATCATGACATGTTTGGAGCAATTTGCTCCCCCCCAGCTCTGGAGTGTGGACCTGCTCCTGCAGCCCCAACACCACTTCTTCACTGCTCAGCCCCATCAGCACTGCAGGAAACTTTGTGCCCAGGCTGGGGGACAGCAACCAGGGCAGAGCAGGAGAAGGGAAGTGCTGAGCCAGGATGCCCAGGAGGTGCGATGTTGATGGGCATCTGGATTATTTGCACAGGAGGGATGTCTTCTGCAGCCCAATTAAGAGTCTCATTTTTTACTTCCTCAAGGATGAGTTTCTGACCTTTGTTTTCTGTTTGTGATGTGATTTGTGTGCAGGGACAGCTATGGTGGTAGCACATGGCATAGAGGCGCTGGTTTTCCAAGGTGTGCAGCAGGTTTGCTCTCTGCAATAACTGCTTCCTACACAATCTCTCTCCCCACTGGCTTCCTCTCTGTGGTTAATCCACTTGTTAACATCTGGACAGACTCACTGCACTCACTTTGTATTGCTACATGAAGAAAATACCATCAGCAAAACCTTTTTGCTTTATGGGGAGCTTTTCCCTTCAGGCTGAGGCCGCTTCTCCAGCCTTAGTCCACCTGTTTGTAAAAGCCAGGACCACCCCAAGCCCACGTTTTCCTTTGCAGAGGGTAATGTGCAGGTTTGTGTGACACTGGGATAGTGAGAGCCTGGGCACTGCACTTGCTCTGTCACAGAGCTGCTGGGGCCTTGGGGAAGGGCTGTTTGTGCATGGTGTGCTTCGCTCTCCCCACCTGTAATGGGGTGGGGATGCCACATGTCCCTCCCCGGGCAGAGATACCCTGGATGTGCAGTCTAAGCCACGATGCAAAACCAGAGTTGGCTTCCTTGCCCCAACCCCTGCCTGCACTTCTGTGTGCCCCAACCTTTCTGCTGCCACCCTGTCACCTGAGCAAGCCCAGCAGAGCCGCAGGGTGTCCCCACGGGCAGGCAGCCATCAGCTCCTGCTCCCTCCAGGATAACCATACTTTCCAGGTGTATTGCTTTTCTCTGCCTGTGCTATTTGCTAGATTAAAATCTCTTTTCCTCTACCAAGTTTAACATCTTCTGCTGTGCATTTTAGGAAA